GCCCCCCCTGGAATAAAGTCTTGGGCTGAAAATTTGGGGGGCTCTTGCAGTACTACCCCCCTTTTGTGGGTTAGCTGGTGGCCGTTTTAAACACGAGACATGTGCGCAACCTTGAGTTTGGGGGCGACCAAAAACAGTTTTAGGATTTGGGGGGAAAGAGAACGCACCACGCTTACAGCATCAGGCTGGGGTCACTCACCTGGGATTGTGTGTGAAGTTGGCTAGGTAATTAGCCAAGAGGTAACTGCATTTAGGAAGTTGCATCTTTCAGGTCAGGGGGGGGGCCATGCATCAAGACTTTATTATAGGGGCCCCTGGAATAAAGTCTTGGGATAGGACATGTTGCATACAGCATAATGAGGTAGTAGGTTGTCAAGTTTGAAGCTTGCTTTTGACAGGAAGCAAAGGCACAGGCCATGGAGATCTTAGCAAAAGCACAGGCACAAGCAGATGAGATGTTGAGACAGGCCCAGGAACAAGCTCAGAAGATGATAAGCCAAAGCAGGGCCACTGAGGTCAAGACCCACAGGTCCAACAGTGACAGCTTCAAAACACCAGAAGGAAAGACAACAGCTTACAGAAAGATCAACAGTGGCCCACAGTCTGCGAGTCCAAGCCCAGGCACAGTTGCTGAACAGAGCCCAGCCAGCACTGGCAGCAGTGGCAGGAAGCAGTTCAGCTTGAAGAGGTTTTGGGGGGGAGGTGAAAGCACAGATCACAAGCCAGTCATGGAGCTAGCTTGGGGGTCAAAAAGGCGACAAAAAAGCAAAGCCCAGCTAGAAGCAGAGCAGTTGAAAGCAGAATATGAGCAAAAGCTTGCAAGTATAAAACCACAGCATGAACAAGATGAAGGTTACACAGCTTGGATCCAGAAAAGAAGAAAGCTTGGAGGAAGACCAAGAGCTGAAGAGCAAGCAGTTTTGCAGGAGCACAGAGGAGTCTTAGGAGGCAAGAAAAGCAACAGGAGACAAGTTGCAGAGCCACCTAGAAAAAGGGAGATGACTGCTCAAGAGAAGCTGGAGATTGCAAACTTCATAGAGGAACAGAAGCAGAGCTGTGCTGATGAGGGTGAGCTCTACCAGATAGCTTCTCAAAAGTACGGACTAGACAAAAGGAGGCTGAGAGATATGCATGCAAGAATGGCAGAGTGGCATACCCTCACAACGAAGTTGGGAGTTGGAACTCAGGGAGGAGCCAAGAGAGGTAGCAAAGCAAAGAGAATCAGGAGCAGGCGAGGTATCAGAGCTTTGGGAGGAGGAAGAAAGAATGACTTTGCAGAGGAGATTGAGAAGCTGGGAAAGTGGCTATCTGAAGAGAGGAGCAATGGCCACAACATCAGCAAGAGAGAGGTCAGGGAAGAGTTCTACTGTCTCCTAGTTGCAAGGTCTGAAAGATGCTTGGTGCAAGCTCAACAAAGCACAGATGAGCTTCAGAAGAAGTTGTGGGAGCTTGAAGCAGCAAAGTCACTGGAGAGGAAGAAGAAGTTGCAGAACAGCAAGAGCTATGCACAGAGTTACACAGATGACCTCTTGAAGTGGATGGGGGCAAAGTTCATGTCCAAGGAGCAGACCACCCCACTAGCTCCATTGGAGCAAAAGGTGCGAGCACAGCTGAGCTTCCAATCCATAGATCACAAGCTGTGGCTCATGGGAGCAGCTCCCAAAGAAGAGCTACAGTCAGCTCAGATAGTCTCAGATGTTGACCAGGTGATATCAAACCGGCACAGATTGTGCATAGGCATGTCAGATCAAGTTCCTCTGTGGGCCAAAAGTCCCTCCACCAGAGTTGTGTTTGCAAAGGAAGATCTGCAAGGAGTTGGGGCTGAGGTGAGGAGGGAGTTCAACACTTGCAGGGAAGAGCTGAAGGCTGCGCAGGAAGCTTGGAAAGAAGGTGGCTTGCAGTTGGTCACAGGTACAGATGGAGGTGAGTCAGCTGGCAAACGTGTTGCTGGCAGCAGAGTTTTGAAGGGAGACAGCGCTGCTGAGAAGTTTCGCATAACCTATGAGGCCAGGCAGAGGGTGACCAACATAGCTAACAAAGAGGAGCTGCAAGGACAGGTGCTTCCTGGACTGTTGGTTTTCCCTGGAAAGCACAACAGATTGAGCAATGTAGATGAGAATTGCAAGTACAAGAGAACAGAGAAGTTTGAAGTGAAAGGTGTGGAGGTGGAGCACCAAGCTGGACAGAAGTGCAGAGGCTTAGCTTGGGCAGTTGAGCTGAGGAAGCAGTTTCCAAAAGAGTTTGAAGAGGTGGAGATCATGACACAGCCCAGTTCCAACTGCGATGGAGTTTTGCTAGCATGGATAGTTGAAGAGCAATGTGAAGAAGAGATTTGCAGCTTGTGGATCAGAGATTGCTTCAGTGCAGTTTTCCAGGAACAAGTTGTGCAAAGGCAGTTCACAGGTTGCCAAGCAAGCGCGCAGATCCTGGGGAAGATGACACAGCAGCTTCAGTTGACAGATACTGATTTTGCCAAGAGCTTCAAAGCTAGTTTCAGAAAGCAGCTTGAGGAGCAAAGATTAGCAGCTAAGAAAGGTGGCACAGAGTACAAGATTGGCTACAAAGAGATCATCCTTGCCACAGTTGGAGCTCAGAGAGATGCAGTTCAAAGACAGGTTGACAAAGATTGGATTGTGGGTGGGAGTGTGAGGAATGGCCTAATAGCTTTCAAAGCTTCACCAGAGGAAGGAAAGCTTGTGCCCTTTCTGGATGAAAGTTGGGCCAAAGAAAGAGGTCTGGCACAGGGGTCAAAGAGAATTCCCAACAGTTGGCTGGAGCCGAGGTTCAGCTGGGTCAAAGATGGAATTCCACTGCCTGCAGATTTTGCCCTGAGTTGCAGTGCCACACAGGTGGCTGACTTGATAGAGTGGAGCTACAAGAACCCAAGTGCAGAAGATGAAGATGGAGATGCAGATGGAGGTGGAGACACCCTTGACATATCCAATGAAGATGAGATAGCAACAGAGCTGCAAGTTCCACTTTGGAACAGTTTGTTCCTGAGGATGAGCCCAGATTTGAGAAGAGCTCACATCAGAAGGAAAGCTCAGCAAGATAGTTGGCAAGAGCTTGTCAAGTTGGCAATCGCCAAGGCAAAGATGAAAGCTGCCAGGCAAGCTGCAAGGAAAGCTGCTTTAAGGCTGAGTTTTGCAGAGATCAGGAACAAGCTGGCAAAGATGTCAAAGCGAGAAGCCATGGCAGACATAGTTCCAGTTGCACAAGCAAAGGCCAAGGCAAAGGGGAAGCTCAAGCCTTCAGCAAAGTTGAAGCCCTCTTTGGTCCTCAAAGCTTCTTGCAAAGCAAAGCCAAGTGTGAAGGAGAAAGGTAGCCTTGTAAAGAAAGAGTTAGCCAAGAACAGCAAGAAAAGCGCCAAGGACAAAGCTTTGCTGCTAGCCTTGAAAGATGATAAAAAAGCAGAAGCTGTGAAGAAGGCAGAGGCTGCAAAGGCTGCAGCAGAGCCAGTTGAGGACCTGCAGTTGCATTTCAAGAAAGGAGAGGAGTTGAGAGTTGTGAAGGAAGAAGCAGGTGCCTTGCAGTATGGCAAAGAAGGCAGCTTTCAAAATGCACATCCAGATGGCAAAGCTTCAATCTTCACAGATCATGGTGTGTTGAGTTGCCAGCTGCAGCACTTGGAGTTGAAAGGCAGTTCCTGGAAGAAGGCAGCTGTGTGGAAGCAGTTCACACAGCTTGGCAGGTTGAAAAAGCAGGAGTTCCTGCAGCTTTCAGGTTGCCTGCCAGCTCTGGGAGTTGAAGCAGAAGCAGTTGTGCCACAGCCACCAAAGATGAACCTGCTGGAGGGTAGCCACATAGCTTTGAGCTGGCACCTGCTCAGATGGCAGTTCTCAGGCCATGAGTTTTTGGAGAGCTGCCAGCTTGTGGATGCAGAGTGCACCTACAAGATTGACAAAGAAGAAAGGTGGAAAGAAGAGATTCAGAAGCTGGCAAGCAACAAGATGCACATTTTTGTGCCAGTTCTGGGCAGCCCAGCTCACTGGGCCTTGCTAGTTGGCCACAGGTCCAGTCCAGATGCAGCCTGGCAGTTCTGTTACAGAGACACCTTGGCAGATGAGCATGCAGATTGCAAGCACAAGGCAGCAATAGCAATGCAAGCCCTGACAGCTGCCTCAGAGTTGCCAGAAGTGCCAGCCAGGTGCAACAGCTGCAGGCAAACAGCCTCAGAAAGTGGCCAGCTAGTTCTGTCTTACATTGAGGCAGAGCTGGCAAGGCCCAGCTTCCAGAGGCTGGCCAGGTGTGCTGGCCCAGAGCTGGGACAAGAGGTTGGAAGCACTGTACAAGCAGTTGCAGCTAGAAGTTGAGAAAGTTCATGCAGAAGTGGCCAAAGCAAAAGAAAAGGAAAAGAAGCTTGAAGAGCAGCAGGAGCAAAGAAGAATGAAAGCCTTGGAGATGCTTGCCAAGGCAAAAGATCAGAACTCCAAGACAGCTCAAGCAGCAAAGGCAGCTTTTGAGCAGAACTCACAGTATTTCACCCACAAAGATTTGAGCCCAGATGCCAGAGAGGCAGTTTGGAGAGCCAAAGCTGCACTTTTCAGGTGCTCAAAGTGCAGGTACACAGCCTGCCTAGCTTGCTGCCCAGAGAAAGCTTTGAGCTACTGGGTGAGGAAAGAAGCAGGTGCCAAGAGCAAGGTGCCAAAGATCCAAGGACCAGGGGTGGCTATCTCTCCTCTCCTTCCTGTCCTTTCTCTCTTTCTCTCTTCTTTTTTTGTGACTTTTTTGTGACTTTTTTTTTCATGGGTGGGCAGGGGCTTGTCTTTAATCCAGGTGCTTTTACTAATTATTTTGGGCCCCGAGAAGTCTTTATTACGCGTGCATTTTTTAATCCCATTTGGACATTAACCAAAGGAACTACCCTTTAATCGAAACGAAAACGGCTCGATGCCTACCATGGTGGCGATTTTGCGTCAAACTTTCAAAAGGTGATGATGATTTAAAGTCAATTGTTCCAAAAGGTGATCATGGTGATCATCTGCCCCTCCAAACTTGAGGAAACCTTCAGCTTCCTTTGCCTGGCGGCGTCGAAGAGTGACCTGAGTGCTGCGGCGGAGTACGCGGAGAAGGCCGCGATGCTGGGCTCGGAGCTGGACGAGGCGCTGCTCTCGGAGCTGTTGGCGCGGGCGGTGAAGGAGATGAAGCTGGAGCTGGCGGACACCTTCTACAGCCTTTCCTCGTTGGACCAGCCCAGTGAATCCACCTTCGAGTCCATTCTGAGGCAGGGAAATGAATAAGCAAAAACAATGGCCACTGTTTCGTTGGATTCAAAACAAACCTTTTTTGCAAAGTGATTCAGTGATACAGTGTATGGACGTGTCTTTTTGTTTGGGCGTGTCCTTTGGATGGTTTTACACGCAAACCAAAAGCGACGCCGTCAGGGCCGCTGCCGCGGGCGGGGATTTGGAGACCGCCAGCGCGTGGCTTACCAGAGCCGCCGGCTCGTCCAAGCCGATCCGCCTGAGCCTGTCTGTCATGGTGACCCGGCGCAGTGGCCTCGCGTTTTTTCTTTGTTTGGATGGATTTCGCTTGAACATCAACTGTGAGAGGGGCAAGTGTCCATTGTCTCTCTCTCGCTCTCTATATGTAGATATATACACATGTGTGTTTGAGGCTAGTGAGGGACTTCATCATGTTTGCCCCTGCGGCCGGCAATTCATCGCGACTCAGGTGAGCTTGATGGATGCTGCGGCCAAGATGGGAAATCTCACCATGGCAGAGGCCTTCTTTAAGTATGGCCAGCGGATGAAGGTGCAACACCCAATGGCCTCGTACAACATCCTCATCAAGGCAGCGCTGCGTTTTGTCCAAATGCCAAGTTGGCCATTTGTGTTGGTCTACTGCCTGGGGTAGGGTGGAGTGTGGTAAGGCTAAGGCCTTCATAAGCGGTAAAAAGCTTTTAAACCGAAAGTGAATAGGTTGTGGGCGCTATTGATAACTGGGCTGTGTGTTCAAACCAGGCCCGGTTCTGAACAGGGAGCCAACTGAGGCTGTCTTTTCTACAAAAAGGACTCAAGACAGAAAGCGTTGCACCTTCGAATGCACGGTTCCCTGTTTGCGGCTTATTTCAGGTTCGGCGAAACATCCAGACTTTCGATTTGGGCGAGCCATTTTGGGATTCACAATAGGATTTAAACACAAAGGAATGTGTTTTGATAGAACCCACAGGTGTATCGGGCTGTCCCCAAAAATGGGCGGCCTTTCCCATCCCTTGGGCTTTTGGGCAGGTTAGCAGGTTTGTGAAATGTTCAGAAAATCAAAGCAAGGAATGGCAAACGCCGACCAAGCCCTGCCTTGCATTGTAATTCCTTTTCGGACATGTGCCTTGGGGCCACAAATGGGGATGTGTCAAAGAGGGGCCCAGTGTTGGTTTCTTTTGGGCTTCCCTTGTTTCCCCTTTGGGTGCAAAGGGCACCAGAGAAATCCGTTCGCGTGCGCGGCTTTGCCAAATCCTTGAGGCGGCCGCAGAGGCCAACTTGCCGGAGGCCGCGGAGTACTGGTTTTCTCAGCTGCGCAAGCAGGGCTTCCGGGCCTCCCTGCTCAGCCGCTCGCTTGAACATCGCCAGATTCCTTGAAGGATTCCACGTGAAAGGCGGGTGCGTGGTGTGTAAAACAGGTCCTCCTTTCAGAAACCTCTTTTTTTGGACTCAATCGTTTGACATGTGATTAGTTTCGTGTTGGTGTCGGCCAGTTTTCACGGAGTTAATTTTGGTGGTTCAGTTGTTTGTTGAGTTTCCTGTCTGGGGATCCTGCAAGGTTTCGCTTTCGCCTCTTTTTGGCATTGTTTTCCCATATTTCAGGTTCCAAACTTTGAAGGTCAAGTAAATACATTGGAGGCTGGAAGCGCACAGGGCTTGTATCTGTTTAGCGTTGGTTCCCGAACCAGGAGAGGCATTGAGACCCCGAACTCCAGAAAGGTTTTCAGAACCTTCTGGCCACTTCACTCAAGAGTTCCTGGGTGTGGGGGGGGGGCTCTTGATGTTTTTCCATGCCGAAAGCTTTGCTCTCATCTACATTATTGAGTAGGTTCCCTTGTCGGGTCAGATGTTCTCAATCAGAGCCACGGCATCCCCACCCCCTCGTAAATGTATGGGCAGGGTCCACATTCATGAAGGGGTCCTTTTTGGAAGAATGCGCGTGGTTTCGCCTGGTGATAATGTGCCAGAGGGGAAGGCCCTTCATGTTTTCCTGCTGGCCGCCCATTTGAGTATATTATTTCTTTGGGGGAGGGAAGCCCCCCCAAAACTGGTTGGGTTTTCCTTGGTCCCTTCATAGGTTGAAAGGGACACCTTGAGGTTGAAACCATTCGAACATTTTGGGGGCCCACCTTGTCTCAAAGTTCCGATTGTGAGGCTACACGAGCCTGGTGAAGGCGGCTGCGCGGGCTGGTGACTTGTCGCAGGCTGAGGCGTGGCTCCAGCGGGCGCGCCGCGAGGGGAAGACGGACATCATGAGCCTCGGCGTTCCAGCGACGGCCGTCCAATTGCTTTCAACTGTCGGTTTGCCCTTGCTTCGTCCTTTGACTTTTTGATATGTTGGTGGTCCTGTTTGTTTTTGCGTCGTTGCATCTGGTGTCCTTTTCTTGTCCCTTGCTTTGTTTAGACAACAACAATAATAACAATAATAATAATAGCGTGGAGAGCTTGCGTGGGGTCTGGGACCCAATCCTGAAAGTAACAACGTGATAAAGACGGCCATGATGGGCATCACAGAGGTGGGCGTGCCTCGAGATTGAGGACCCAATGGGCCGCAGTGGTTGTTGTTGTTGTTGTTGTTGTTGTTGTTGTTGTTGTTGTTGTTGTTGTTGTTGTTGTTGTTGTTGTTGTTGTTGTTGCTGCTGTTGTGTTTGTTGTTGCTGTTGCTGTTGTTGTTGCTGTTGTTGTTGCTGTTGCTGTTGTTGGTGCTGGTGCTGATGCTGTTGCTGTTGCTGGTGCTGATGCTGTTGTTGCTGCTGCTGTTGTTCTTGTTCTTGTTCTTTTTCTTGTTCTTGTTCTTGTTCCTGTTCCTGTTCCTGTTCCTGTTCTTGTTCTTGTTCTTGTTCTTGTTCGTGTTCTTGTTCTTGTTCTTGTTCTTGTCCGGGTTCTTGTTCTTGCTCTTGTTCTTGTGCATGTTCTTGTTCTTGCTCTTGCTCTTGCTCTTGCTCTTGTTCTTGTTCTTGCTCTTGTTCTTGTTCTTGTTCTTGTTGTGGTTGTGGTTGTGGTTGTGGTGGTGGTGGCTGTGGCTGTGGCTGTGGCTGTGGCTGTGGCTGTGGCTGTGGCTGTGGCTGTGGCTGTGGCTGTGGCTGTTGCTGTTGCTGTTGCTGTTGCTGTTGCTGTTGCTGTTGCTGTTGTTGTTGTGGTTGTGGTTGTGGTTGTGGTTGTGGTTGTGGTTGTGGTTGTGGTTGTGGTTGTGGTTGTGGTTGTGGTTGTGGTTGTGGCTGTGGCTGTGGCTGTGGCTGTGGCTGTGGCTGTGGCTGTGGCTGTTGCTGTTGCTGTTGCTGTGCTGTTGCTGTTGCTGTTGCTGTTTCTGTTCCTGTTCCTGTTCCTGTTCCTGTTGCTGCTGCTGCTGCTGCTGCTGCTGTTGCTGCTGTTGTTGCAGTTGTTGTTGCTGTTGCTGTTGATGCCATGGATTTTGGGTAGAGCCCTTGAATACCAGTGGCATTGACTATTCTGTGAAATACGGCCTGCCCAGTTTGAGATGGCTCTTGAAGTAAGGAGCGCCTGCATGGATGAATGCCTGAGTTGTTGGTAAAGCCTTGGCCCTTCGGTTGTTACTGACAGAGCTAGCAAGAGGAGATGAAGGACGCCGCGAACCTGTTGCACGGCTGTTTTGGGCAATGTCTCTGCGTGAAACAGGTTCTCAACGCTTCCTAGAAATGCTGTTCTATACACAGCAGCCGCGACCAGGTTAGCAAGGCCTTACCCCCAGATCTCCGTGATAACGGGACCCCTTCGCTACGCATCAGGGGCGTAAGCAGTTTCACAGGGGCTTGGTTCATGGTCAAAGGCAATAGGAGTCCAAACATGAGAATCATTGGCCACCACTTCAGGTGGGTTAATTAGGAGATGGTTCTTGTTATTTCAAGCGGTTTCTCAAGCCGAGTGTGACAATATAATGTTGATGATCGAAACGTATGATATAGTATGATATAGTTAGCTGCTAACTTACAGTTGCACAACATAGGGAACCGCGACATCGACTTTCACCTTGGTGTAGCTCAACTTAGGATCTTCACTGCCGTGATGGATGCGGCCGCGCGGCGGGGAAGCCTGTCGGCAGCGGAAAGGTGGTTTCGCGAGGCACAGGACTGCCGGGCGACCTTGAGGTTCCTCAAATCGGAGCTGGATCCAGAAGGGTCCTTCTGCGTCAGCCTCGGGTAAACGGCACACTTGCCAATGTTGTTTATTTCAACAGACAATAGTGGCATCAATCTTCTTGGAGTGCACCTCTCCGAATGGCAACAACAATAAGAACAATAAGAACAATAAGAACAATAAGAACAACCAACAACCAACAACCAACAACCAACAACCAACAACCAACACCACCACCACCACCACCACCACCACCACCACCACCACCACCACCACCACCACCACCACCACCACAACAACAACAACAACAACAACAACAACAACAACAACAACAACAACAACAACAACAACAACAACAACAACAACAACAACAACAACAACAACACAACACAACAACAACAACAACAACAACAACAACAACAACAACAACAACAACAACAACAACAACAACAACAACAACAACAACAACAACAACAGCAACAGCAACAGCAACAGCAACAGCAACAGCAGCAGCAACAGCAGCAACAACTACAACCACAAACCACAACCACAACCACAAACCACAACCACAACGGAGTGTCATCCTTCTGGTCCACGAGAAATTCGACATCATCGGGTGTGGGTTTCCAGCTAAGCAGAGTCGGTGGGGAAATTTGACTGGATATGTCAGAAAGCCCCCTTTTATGAACATGGCAAGAAACAGA